AGCTTCGACCGCTTTAATTCGCATCATATCCTTAATGGCGCTTATTTCGAAACTTTGAATTTACTTCATGTAAGTAGTATCGAAATGTTTACACTTTGTGATGTCTTACATGAAACGAAACAAAAAAAGCAAATTCTCGACAGTGCGCAGTACGGACTGGAAATCATCTTTAAACAACAAAGACAACCATTGCGGTATTGGAATGTAGAAATGTAAGAGATAATGAGAAACCATGAAACTTCTCTGCGCGCCCCCATTTATCACTCACAAACACGGGCGTGATAACCCATACTTCCTCACACATTTTACATTTCTTTAAGGCAGATACAGCGCTTTTTTACCTGTACACTATCTTTATAAGCCTCTATTTGATCAAGAACATCTTCTAGTGTAACGACTGATTAAACGATACAAAGACCACAAACAACGACGAGTTGTGTTCATTCACTTTGCTCGTCGCTCTGAGTCAAACCTTTAGATTAAATTAATCATAATGCATTAAGTTGTTCCCAGTCACCATGAGTGCAGTTTTTACTGTGCGAAGACGATTTTGCGCAGAGAAAACGTTCTACACACGTTTAGCGTTAAAATGACCTCAATAGGCCACGTTCGATGTATCAATATTCTAACTTTCCCCCGAGGCTTTCGGGTCAAAATTGTAAATTTTTTAATTCTCTTTTGTCTCTCAATTCCCATAAGAGAATTGGATATAGAGAAAATAATATCAAATATAGAAGTTTGTCCTGACATGACACGNTTTTTTGTCTCTCAATTCTGAAAAGGGACTTGGATACAAAGAAGACAACACCAAAAATAGAAGGCCTCGGAGCTATGTTTCAAAATTGATATATCAAACGTGGTGCAAAATATATAGTTCATCTTTACCGAAATGCTTTTTGAGGTGATGTTTGATACCCATTTTGTTCTGAAGATCTCAAGCGTTGAGAAAATTGTGGTATATGTGTGCCGCTTGCGTAGAAAGCAGAAGGAGAGTGTAAAGAGACGAAGGTGACGAAGAACAAGACAATTAAACAACGACGAAATCATCAAAAGTAACCACCACAAGATAAAGAAGAAGGAACAACACAAGTCACAAAAGCATTTTTTCGGAACTTGAGTATTGAAGATAAAACGTGATGAAAGCAAAGATTATTAAGTCAAAAGGAAACAAATGATTTAATAAAACTAGAAACCGAATAGGACACGAGAGAGGAAAGCATCGAATTCAAGGAAGGAGTTAAATTTCATTAAAAAAGTCGTAGCTAAGATAATAACTCAGGAACACACGAATCCAATGTACGCCTGTAGAAGCATGTGAAAGAGTTTAGCATCCAAATACAAAAAAATGCGCAAAAAGGTCGAAAGAGAGCCAAGAAAATGCAATGTTCAACTAATAACTTTCTCTCTTCAGTATCAATACGTTGTTAACCAAGCAGGTGACGAGAGCACGTTAAATAATCAACTAAAGTGTTGAGGCTTTGATTCACTTCCCAGTTCTAGTTTTAGTGTCAAAATACGTTAAGCACGTATCATTTTTTTAAAAAAGAGGAAATTTTACAATAATGAACCAAGGTCATGGCAAGCGAAGCAAGGGCAGCCACTGCAGGTGCAAATTAAATGGACACAGCGCCCGAGCGATCTCCGTCAATAAGTACTAC